AGCGAGCGCGCCCAAGTTATGTTTACGTCAAAAGGCTAGATTTACATCTTCATGACTATAAGTTTCCGTGTGCATTCGCAGCCTTTTGTTTTATGCAAATGTAAGTTGTAAAATTGTGTAGATGTTTGAATATACACTACCGTTCAAAAGTTTGGGGTCAGTGAGAATTTTATTTTTATTTTTTGGAGGAAAGAAATCAATACTTTTATTTATCAAGGAATAATTAATTTGATCGAAAGTGACAGTAAAGACATTTATAATGTTACAAAAGTCTTTTGAACTTCCTATTCATCAAAGAATCCTAAAAACAAAACAAAAAAACTGTACAACTGACAGACCAACAACTGTTTCAACATTGATAATAATAATAAATGTTTCTTGAGCATCAAATCCTCATATTATACTGATTTGTGAAGGATCATTTGACACTGACACTGGTGATGCTGAAAATTCAGCTTTGATCACAGGAATAAATTACACTTTACTATATATTCACACAGAAAACAGCTGATTTACACTGGAATAATATTTAATACTATAACTGATTTTTGTTGTATTTTTAATCAAATAAGCGCAGCCATGGTTAGCAGAAGAGAATTCTTTTAAAAGTATTTAAAATCGTACCGACCCCAAACTTTTGAACGGTAGTGTACATCACATGAAAAAAGTACATTGCATTGACCAAACACTCAAAGTATATTTCTGGCCTTAAACAGCCCAGATGTGACGTGAAGTGGTGGTTAGACCTGTGCATGTTGATGGGGTGAGGTAGATGTCATGGATTGAAAAGCTTTGCCTGATGAGGAAGTCTCTGTGGTTTGGGAAACGTGCTCTCCGCTCTACATGTCATCATCATAGCCTCTAGCCTCGTTCTGCCAAGTGACAGACGCCCATGACTCATCGCTGGTGATATCCAGGAACTGCAGAAAGAGATGTGGAAAGTGAGAGGAAGGAGTTATATAACCAAAAAGAGGACTTTAGTTTCTTTGGATAAAATCATCTACTGCTTACTTACAGGCAAGACATGTGCTTTATTACACCCTGTGCTGCTAGTGTTAATGTGATTTAACTGACCAATCACCAGTATCCACTCAACATCCAAGCATCAGAGAAAGCTGCCCTATACAGCTCTGATATTACCCATCATGAGCCAGTAATGGATGTGACTGCTGCTGAGCTGAATAACTGTCAAAGTGGAAATGCAGTTAAAGGGAAGTGTTTGACGAAATTGCTGCATTTACAGTGCACAGTGTGAGAGAGATTACCACCGTCTTTAAACTGTCTTTTTAGGTGAGGACTTGTCGAGGTAATTGCATACGTTAGTTTCATCTGAAGAAAAAAAGAAAAAAAAAAGTGGAATGATGCTTTTATGCTTCACAACAAGACATCAATAAACACATTCAGGAACTTTTGTTCTTGTTTGTCACATTTTCAGCAATTGCATCCCGTCATTAGTGGTACAGCTTGAGTCAATGTGAAATGCTGTTTGCATCTCATTTTAATACCGTAATCTGATTTGTTTCCATGTGAAACATGTTAGTTAAGAAAAAAGAAAAAGAAAAAAATGTGTTAAAAATACACAGACATTACTGTTCAAAAGTTTGGGGTCGGTAAGATTTTTAAAGGGATACTCCACTTTTTTTGGAAATAGGCTCATTTTACAACTCCCCCAGAGTTAAACTGTTGAGTTTTACCGTTTTTGAATCCATTCAGCCGATCTCCGGTTCTGGCGGTACCACTTTTAGCATAACTTAGCATACATCATTGGAGTGGACAAGACCATTAGCATTTCTAAAAAAAAAATGACCAAAGAGTTTCGATATATTTTTCCTATTTAAAACTTGACTCTTCTGTAGTTACATCGTGCACTAAGACCGACGGAAAATGTAAAGTTGCGATTTTCTAGGCTGATATGGCTAGGAACTATACTCTCATTCCTGCGTAATAATCAAGAAACTTCACTGCCGTACCATGAGTGCAGCAGGCGTAATGATATGACGCAGCGCCTGAAAATAGGCCACCTTCCGTCAACACAACGGAACTATTTTCAGGCGCTGCGTCATATCATTACGCCTAAGCTATGCTAAAAGTGGTACCGCCAGAACCGGAGATCGGCTGAATGGATTCAAAAACGGTAAAACTCAACAGTTTAACTCTGGGGGAGTTGTAAAATGAGCCTATTTTCCAAAAAAGTGGAGTATCCCTTTAAAAATGTTTTTGGAAGAAGTCTCATGCTCACCAAGTCTGCATTTATTTGATCGAAAATACGGTAAAAACAGAAATATTTTTAAATAGTACGATTTGAAGTAACTGCTTTGTATTTGAATTATGGCTGTCACAAATAACTTGTTAGTTTCTGGGAAAATAAGTGTAAATACTTGCAATACTGACGTTGTATCGAGAGGATAATCCTCACATAAGAATATTGATACCAAAAGTTTTATGGTGCGTTCACACCGGACGCGAATAGCGCGTCAGGCGCGAGTGATTTCAATGTTAAGTCAATGCAAAGACGCGTTACGCGCGTAAAAAATTCCTGCGGCGCGAATGAGGCGTAGAGCGCGGCGCGGTAGACGCGAATACGCCTCATTCGCGCGTCAAGTTCGCGCGAATGGCGCGAATTGAGCGTCTGGCGCGTTAAGCGCGTTACGCGCGAATGATTTAGTTAGTGCTATTTGTGCATTCACGCGTTTGACGCGAATTCGCGTCTGCCGCCCGAGTTGAAAAATCTGAACTTCTGCGTCAATTCGCGCCGCGTTAACCAATCAGGAGCCTAGCTGCTTGCTGCTGTCACGTGGTGAAGTATCTGGATGCTTCAATAAATTATTTTGTAATATATGACTGTGGTTCTAATGCACAACAAAGCAAATATTTTATCACATAAAACTTGATTTCAATATATGAGACATATTCATTTTGCATTGAATGCTATTTATTCCATATCTAGATTATATGAAATATTATTATAATGTAAAGACAACCAACATATAAGTTCGTGTCTGGACAGTGATGTGTGAGAGAGAGAGAAAAATCACAGGACAGATTAATCACTTTTGGAGGCTGGCTTCATTTATTATCAAAACAAAAATAAATGACAGATTAGGTGGATGCGGGCGAGGGTGAACCTCGCGCCGGGCTGTAGAGCGCGGGCTCGACAGGCATAGCTAGACCACTCGAGGCCGAGGGCTTATACGGCCTACGCTGTCCTCATCAGCGTCCTCACCATTAGGTCCACCAAACCTAGCTCCTGGAGCAAATTGTGAAACTCCTGAAACCCTCCGGAGGTTCTGGTGGACCCGAGTACAGCGACGATGTCCCCTACGGAGCTGCTTCTGCTCTCCAGAGCATATACGAGCGGTGACTCTCTCGAATAATGCTAATGCTAATGCTCGATAAACATCTAAAAAGATGGCCGCCAACGGGTTTCGAAACTTTCGCCTCCGGATTTCGCCTCTGACGCGCGTAAATTTCGCTTCAAACTTTTGTTTTTACGCGCGTCAATTTCGCCATTGACACGCGTATTAACACAAAGTGGTCAAGCGTCAAACTAGACGCGGTAGACGCGAATTTGACGCGCTATTCGCGTCCGGTGTGAACGCACAGTTAAAGGTGCTCTACGTAACTTTTAGCGGCCTCTAGTGGTGATGTTTCAGATTGCAACCAAATTTTACAAGAGCGCTCGTGCTCGAACTCATAGACAATACCGTCTATTACGCAAATATCTCGGCGAATACTAGATGGATTCGGCGAGCACCGAGCTCGTTGGGACCATCTAGTCGAGCTGAAAAGAACCATATAAGTTCCATAGTTTTTGGTGGTGTTTTCGCGGAGATATTAGCAGAAAACCATCGGGCGCGCTGCAAAATTGCGGACGCCGGTGACGTCACGATCTCAGAAGAAAATCGCTCGTATCTCTGGAACGCAAAGACCCAGAGAGCTCAAATTCGGGGGAGGAGGTCCCAGGGGAACCCTTGCCCGAACGCTAGAGTGGCGGGCCTCGGGGATGCCCCCTACCGGATCGCCGTTCGCTGGGACCCCCGATTTCGAACGGCTATAACTCGGGGAGCCGGGCGAGTTGGACCTCGGGGGTGGGCTCGTTCGAAAGGCCCCGTCCAGCACTACGAACGATTCGAGTCTTGGGAATATTGATCAAAGATTGACTGAGATATAAGCCGAAAAACGTGCGCCTTTAACCGGACGTAACTCCCTGACCGTCTACAATAGACTGTATATAAGGAGAGAGGCTCGGGAGCGCGCATGCACGTCACATCCGTTGGATTTCGCGGTAAATCCGACCCGGAGACTTCACATAGAAATAGGAATACTGGCCTTCAGAGGTAATAGCAAAACTCGACAAGTGGATCATTTTAATGTGTGATTACAACCCCTTCACACACAGGCAATAAAAAAAGGATTCATTTTAGGGGAAAAGTTACATAGAGCACCTTTAATTGGTAATTTTTTTTTAACTTAGTGTGAAAATTAATGTCCAAAATAAACTTGGGGGAAAAAAAATGAACTGATAGCTCTCAGATACAGTATATCTCATTCAAATATTAAAAATATACCATCTTTGTTGTTTCCAGATTAATTTGAAGACACAATGCAGAATGTATTACAACATAACAATATAATATAGTCAAACAAATTGTAATGGTAGGTTCGATTAATCATTCTTAACATTCACTTTTGATCATTTTAATGCATCCCTGCTGAATAAAAGTTCTTTACAAAAATAATAATACTGACTCTAAACTTATGGATGGTAGTATATTATTTTTTCATTTATTTAAAAATATTATGAAGACAAAACACTTTTTTATATATTTACATTTTATGTACATATTTTGGCATGTTATTTTAAATAAGAACAGGATCATGTTTTAGGAAACCAAATAGAGTCAGTTTAGAATTGTTGATGTTAACTTTGAGACAATTGAAATCAAGGTCCAGTAAATTTGCTTGAATAATGTATGCCCCCCCTTTTGTTTCCCCTTCAGCATCAGCAGGACCTTCTGGCCCTGAAACATCAGCAGGAGCTCCTGGAACACCAGCGGAAGTTGGAGCGTCATCGTCAGGAACAGGAGATGGAGAAACAGCAGCGGGAACAGAAGCTCCAGTTACTCAAAAACAAAGAACGCGGCCAAGAGAGTGAGTGTCCTCGAACATCTCATTACCTGACTGAAACGCATAAAGATCTTCCATTTATTAGGCTAATTAGCACTGCGGCGCGGATGTTTGACTCAGCGTTATACTCTCCTTTCATAACCAAAATTGAAAAAGTTTCAGACTGAAGTAGTCAAAAAGCTCATAATGTTGTCAAAGCCATGGACTAGCGGTTAGATCAGGTGTCGCACCACTCATGCAGATGATATGAGTTTGAGTCTAGCTCACATCCTTTCCTTCTGACCATAATTTCCTGTTTTCTTTCTAAAATGATTTTCAATAATGTAGCAAAAGAGCAGATATAAAATAAAATGTTTTGCTTTCTGTATATAATTTATTCCCAGTTTGAATAACGGTTTTGTTCTTCTGCAGAGCAAATATGGACTTGCTACTGCTAATAGATACATGTAAGTGAGCATGTAAGATAGGCTGATCTAGGCAGGTGGAGCTGGGGGAGGTGGAGGGTTTCAGAGCAACTTACAGCAAACAATGAACCAGACTATTAAAATGCCGAGCAAGCAATCTCATTGGCTACAAGATCAACAGAGGCCAATCAGCTTGTGCCGTGCAGTAATTATGTGATAGGTTGTAGATTGCATGTGAAGGACTTATCAGTCTGCGCCCTCTAGAGTTTCATGACTGAACTAGATATTTCATAATGTAATTATAAAACAAATCCAGTCCCACTTTATATTAAGTGGCTTTAAGTACTATGTACTTACATCAAAAGATAAGTGCAATGTACTTATTGTGTTCATGTTGTATTGTAAAACACTTTTGCTGCTATTTAGGTGTGACAGGGGTAAGGTTCGGGACTGGTGTGGTGGTATGGTATAAGGTAATAAATGTAATTACATAAATTAATTACAGCTGTAATTACATGCAGGTATTTTTTTTAAATATAAGTACATGTATGTATTGTACACAATAAGTCCATTGTATCAAATGACTAATTTCAATGTTAGTACATAGTAGTTAAAGCCACTTAATATAAAGTGGGACCAGCACACCTCTCATGCACATTAGGTGTAGTTACAGGTATAAGAAAGTAACAGTAATTCTTTCACTAGTTCTGTTTATTTTCTAGTATATTCTTATCTAGAATGTTCCTGGCAGTACAGCCAGTCTATTTTTATCCATCTCTGTTGTTGTTGACACGGCGGTCACCTGTAGCCCGCGAGTAGCGCGTGTTGTCTGGCGACGCAGATGTGTACGTACACCGGCGACGGCCTCTGGGGACATGTTTACAGACAATGGGAAAGGTGGTAATTGAAGGAAAAGCTGCGAGAATGCATCCATCTGATGTGTTTCTTTCAGAGTGAGAACAATAGTGAGAAAAAAAGACATCTTTGTTTAACCGTTGCGGTCTCTGTGGAATTGGAATAGAGAGTCTGGATAAAGGGGCCGTTTCTCTCAGATGTAAAGAGATATCTGAATCGAGTCGGGCTGCAGTGGAATAGCTGTTTATCGACACCAGAAAACAAGTGTCAGCCTTTGTAGTCTTGATCAATTGGGCACTGTTCCATCTTCTCGGTCTCATGCCGAAGAGACTATTAAGAGTTTTTGTTAAGACCATTTAGAAGACGAAATTACAGCACTGCAAATTACAGGGTGTAGAAATGGTGAAGAAATTGACAGTCAGTCACAAATGCATAAAACCCCTTCCCGAGGCTTTTGGAGAAATGTAGCTGGTTAACACAGCTAGAGGCTTTGAGAATGCCATTGATGTCCCGCTGCTTGTGCTCTTCCTGAACTGTGAGGTCTGATTGACAGGCGCTGTGGCGAGCACTGAGGTGAAGATGAGGTTGCAGGAGTTTGTCCTCAACAAGAAGAAAGCGCTGGCCCAGAGGAGCCTCAACCACTGCCTGTCCAGTGACCCGCGCTACTGGTACGGGTGAGTATCACAACCTGCTCAGGGCTGATATTTCAAAAAGGACATTTTACAGGTCCCTTTTATATCTTACTTTAACAGAGTGGTCAGCTGAGACCGATTTAAATGCAGTTTACACTTAAGTGCTAACTCAGATGTGTCAGGGAGAGCGTCTTTTTTGTTTTTGCTACTACATATATCACAAACTACATCAGTATGAGTGCATGTTTGCAAAGTGCAATAAAGTAAAATATTATTAATAAAAATAACACAAAATAATTACACAAGTGCTTCACCTTTCAAAAATGTATTAAAAATGTATAAAAAGTGAAGTAGCATACAATAAAAGGGCATATGCAGTAATGTCAAAAAAAAAGAATTTTTTTTTTAATATATGAATTTTACAAACATTTCATTTTGAGAATGATAGTTAATTGCTATTTGAGTCAAGCTCCAATATGTTTTTTGTTTCTCCAAATGATGAGCAAAGTGAGTGGGTAGGCAGTAAGGGTGCTCCGATTGATCGGTCGCCGATCATAATCGGCCGATAATTGCTTTGGGATGTGTGATCGGCGGTCTCTATAAAGGCCGATCCAGAAAAGCTGATCAGATGACGCAAAACTCGCGAGACAATTTTTTTACGCCCTGGTAAAAATGGCTTCACCGGTCTGGCAATTCTACAACAGGGCTCTCAAGTGTCAAGCTGCAAGCATTGAGCGTGACAGTCACTCATTTCGGTCTTTTGTCACGCTCTCCCGCCACACATTGTATTTCTCACGCTGAAAAACTATTTGTAATATATTTAATATGCCGCAGCGGCCAAAACTCTGGCCGCGCCGCTCTCACTGTGGAACCGGCTTGAATCAAGCGCGTTTCCTCTGGTGTTGTTCGTCGAGGTACACAATAGCCAATCAGAAAATAGCACTATTGTATCTGGGTAAGATTTAACGCAACAACCAATGACAAAAACGTATCCAACCCCCCCATCAAAACTGAATATGTTCATCAGCGGTTACAGTTATATCAAGCAAGGATACGTTTGTGTTTTATTTTGTGATTACACCGGAATGAATAGAGTCCGCAACGGCGATAGACTGAAGCGCGCGTCCGAGTGAAGACTGCGCGAGGCACAGAGCACTGTATCCATGCAACTGATCGCCGCGGCAACGAGCGCGCAGCTTGAGTTCAAAAACACATTTTAGCGCTAGATTTCTTATTTAATAGCGAACTAAATGAATGATCTGCTAGTTAACTGAAGATGTTTTATTTATTTATATTAGGTACATGGTGGGACAGACTCACTGGATCTAAAAAAAATCAATCTAACCATAGATGTGACCAGTAGTGGTGGCTTTCTTAATCTGTTTAAAATAATTTTGCAAGGGTTCTTCAAACACACAAACACACACATACACGTCTATATTACTAACAGGGGACTATCGCTCTACACTGGCCAAGAGGGGACTACTGTTTCTGGTCATTTTGAAGAAACAAAAATGACATACAAAATTTTCTTTTAAGGTCTTTTTTCATAATATTACTTCAAATATGCATTTTTTATTTTAAAAAAAATGCCAAGAGGGGACCTGAAACTCTGACCGATTTCTACCTATTCAACAGGGGACTCCCATAGCCTGCAATGGAACTGTGTGTGTGTGAACAGTGAAGTGAACTGGCATTGAAGTAGTCTGTCACACACACACACACACACACACACACACACACACATACACACACACAAAAGGTTTCTCTACCTCTCTCTTCCTCTCTAAATGCCCACAAAATCTGACTAAGCATCCCAGAAAAAAGCAAAGTTATAGATACAGATATGGAAGTTGTTCGTTTTTTTTTGTTTTGTTTTTTGTACTGCCTGTGGTCCTTTAAGTGTATTAGGAAAAACTGATGGCTGACTGACTCAAAACATTATTTTGGCTATAGCCTTTTTTGTTGCTGTTTTTAGTTTAAGTAGTCTAAAGCTAAATGTAAAGACTCAGATGTTCTGTCTTTTATTAATTTTATTTTATATTCTACAGGAAAGTTGTATGTCAAGCCCTAAGCTGCTCCCAATAACCAAGCTGCTATGTTAATACATGTTGCTTGCAAAAAAATACACAGGTGTCAATTCATTATGCATTGTCTTCTCTTAAATGTAATACTTAATGTACATTGTTGTTAAATATAGTTTAATAAGTAATGCGACATGATAAAAAGAAGTTTTCAAATAGACCCTGTAATCGGTGATCGGTATCGGTATCGGGTGATACAGCTTCCAGTAATCGGCGATCGGTGATCGGCCCCAAAAATCCTGATCGGAGCACCCCTATAGGCAGTGTTTCATTGTTGTTTGAGATGCATCAGGAGAGATTGGGTTTACACTGTGAATACGATGTGGTCACAACACAAGTGTTTTTAACTAAAGATGCGCCGATTGCAATTTTCTTGGCCGATTACGATTTTTTTTGTAAGTGTGAAGTTGTGAACTGCTGATACTGATTTTCTATCAAAGGACTATAATTCATAAGATCTTCAATGTAAATTTTTATTTAAAAAAAAAACAAAAACAAATAAACATTTAAAGCTGCAGTCCGCAGTTTTTCCTCTTTGTCGCCATCTCTGTTCGAAATCTGCAATTGCAGTCATTCGCGGAATTATCAACTTTACGTGAGTTGTACTTCAACACCCTCGACACGGCACAGCGTGGAGGAACACAGTGTTTGAGGAGAGTGCGCAGAACAGAGAGGCGGGGTGAGCAAAGCTCATTATCATTTAAAGGCATATGCACTGAAACCGCGTGCTGAAAACAGAGCTGTTTTTGACCAGGTAAAATAAGTGTTTTCTTACAATACTAATGAGAATTTTTAATTAAAGTATATTAAAAAATTTTAATTTAGACCCTAAAGAATCATATTAGCTTGTACAAAAATGGCATTATATGACCCCTTTAAGAGTTTATTCACGGATCCAATATACTGTTACACAACATTTATCTTTCTTAACTAATTAGGTTCCAAAACTGACTGTGTTTAGCTGAATACTTGCCAAGACGGGCATTTTGACATAATCTTGTGAGTATTGACCGTTTAATCGCAGTAAGCCATTTATTTTGGTACTTGCGACTCACAAGCTGTTTGAGAGGCGGTGTTTACACCTGGATTTTACGTTGACCACTTGTGATCAGATCATCTGCAATGGATCTTAATGGCAGACCAAAACAGCTAAAGATCCACATTCTACATGAAGTTGACGCCAAACTTCAGACTGAATATCCCTGTAGTTTTTGCTTGCAGCACTACAGTATTCCAAAATAAAAGCATGTTATATAAGTTTCTGTTTTGATTGATTGATAGTTTTGTTTTCCCTCTTCAACACACAAAAGATGTAGCTGGCTGTCATCTCTGCATTCTTGAAAAATTTGAACAAGTTTTGATTGGGGCACTTCTCGTGTGTGGAAGATAACGGTGAAGAGGAGGCAGTGTATCAGTGTGTGTATGTGAATTTGGGAGTGAAAAACTCACTCCATCAAGCCCACCTTTCACGCTCCTCTTCTGTGAGGCTGGGAAAATGGGAAGAGAATGTTCCTTTTGAAAGAAAGGTTCCAGGCTTTTGCATTCACATACTTCCGTGAGCACTTAACGAAAAAAAAAATTCTTTACTTTCCTTTAAATCCTTGCTTATCTGGCTTATGAACTTTGTATTTTGAGCACTTCTTGCGTTGTTTTTGTCTATTCACGATGACTCGCTTGGTTTAGTCCTCAGTTGTAAGTCGCTTTGGATAAAAGCGTCTGCTAAATGACTAAATGTAAACTTCTGTACGTGTGTTCAAAAGTTTGGAGTCTGTACATTTTTTTTTATCAAACTCACCAAGGCTGTTTATTTGTTACTGTAAAAACAGTAAAAAATTGAAATATTACTACAATTTAAAATAACTGTTTTCTATTTTAATATATTTTAATATGTAATTCATTCCTGTGATGCAAAGCTGAATTTTCAGCATCATTACTCCAGTCTTCAGTGTCACATGATCCTTCAGAAATCCATTTAATATGCTGATTTGCTGCTCAAGAAACATTTATTATTATTATTATTATCAATGTTGAAAACAGTTTTTGCTGTTTTCATTTTTTTGTAGAAACCGTCTTATCAATTGCATGCATCCTTGCTGAATAAACGTATTGATTTCTTTCTTTCTTTCATAAATAAGTAAATAAAAATCCTACTGACCCCCAAAGTTTTTAATGTTGCCGTATGTTTGAGCCAATAGCTTCTTCATTTCAGACATCCACCATACTGATTACAACATTTGCACTAGGATTGATCAGAAGTGAGGTATTTCTGTAGCCTCTGTGGACTATTAAACCAGATGATTGGCGCTCCGGGTCTGTTTGAGATGAGCTGACGATAGGCAGATTAAATGATTGGGTTTTTTGGTGATGCCAGCTGACTGTAGATGCCCCAGTGCAGTTGTTTTTCCTGTTGAGGAGGAGCTAATCTCTTTATTTTTTGCAGAGCTTTGATAGGCTGCCTGCCACTGATGTTTTGAAGTCTGAATGTGTGTCGTACTTAAGCATGTTCATTTATTAACAGAATAACGCCCCGCCCCCCTCTCTTAGGCTGCACTGAGGCATCATGGGTGATCTGAGTTTGCATTCCCGTTACTTGGCAGAAACCGTCCTAGTGCTGGGAATGGAGAGCAGCTGTGTGTGGAAATGTCTTGAAATGCACATATTTGAGCACCTATGCTTGCTCTCATGAGTGTTTGTGATTTGTTCCACAGGAAAACCCAGCACAGCTCCCTGGACCAGAGCTCACCACCTCAGACAGGGATTTCCACTTACAACCACCCGTTGCTGGGAATGTACGACCCCAAAGATGACTTCCCGCTCCGCAAGACAGGTACTGTAAAACTAACCTCCTTCTTCCTAATGTGTCCTGGCCTGTCAGACTTTCACTGGGGTTGCTTAGGCCAGTTCGGGTTTACTTGTTTAGAACTGGTTCCAAAACACGTGGAACAACCTCTGTGACCTTTGCTTCCATTGACGCTTGTGGAAACCCTTTTTTTTTTTCTCCCGCAGATGCAGAAGCTTTTTTTCTCACACCCACACACAACTGTACAGGATTGTGACGTTCAACTTCAATGGCTGCAAAACCTAAAATTAATTAGCAAACAATTAATATAGTCAAACCTTTCTGAACAGTGTTATTTTAGAATTATTTATATACTATTATAGTCGTATTCATATTTTGAATTAGCTTTTGTTTTGATATTTTCTGTTTTAATTTACTTTTTTTAATGTGTTTTTTTTTTAAATTTTGTATTAGTTTTTGTTCTTTTTAAATATTACTATTACTATAGGTTTATTTGTTTAGATTTAGTTTATTTTTATTATTATTATTATTCTTTCCAGTTTATAATTATAGTACTTCAACTTAAAATTAGAAATGTTGCTTGGCAACCAACTGAAATAATATTTAGTCTAATATTTATTTTATTTTATTTCAGCTTTATTTCAATTAAAAAAATGTTAACAGTTGTAGTTAAAAACTTAAAAAGGGTGAAACATCTGTTTTGATCCAAAATTCAAAGCAATATAGTAAAAATAAATAAGTTAAAAATGTGTTTTGCATAAATGATACCTATTTTAAGACCATTAAGATCTTTTGCATGTAACAGTATTCACAATTTATTGACGCATTTTATTTCTATGACAATTAAATTAGAATAGAATTAAAATAGAATTTAGTACAACAAATACTGCAGGAATGAATACCTTTTAATTGTACTTTAGTAATGAACTTCAACATTTACCAAATTAAGTATTTAATTACAATTTTTTTAAAAGTTAGTGTCACATTAATGAGAATTCGGAAGAGAAATGTGCTGAATTGTCTTGAAAAAATACATTAAATACATTTTTTTTTTTTTAAGTATAAATGAATGGTACTATTTTATTTTATTTTACTTTTGAAACATGACCAGGACGTGTTCTTTACCATTTTTGTGAGATCCTCCTCTGTCCAACAGCTCTGTCCAGGTAACATTGTCCAGATTTCCTTGATAACACTGAAGACTCTTGTCCTTCACACCTTGCAGAACATTCTGGAAAGTTTTCTGCTTCTGAGAAAAGGCGGAGGTTTAGGTATAGACATTCTCTGTGGCATCTGCTGTGTATTAAGAAGGGCTCCAGTGTCTGTGGGCTGGCATTGGTCCTGTGCCCCCCTGCTTCAGCAGCGCTGTCTTCACTATCAGGGCTCCAGGCGGTGTGTGTTAAAGAACTTGTACCCCCTCCCTCTCTGCTGCAGGAGAGCACTCAAGGGCAATTCCTATGCAGACTCACTTTGGGCTGGTTTAGGTAGCGTAAGGCCTCTGTGCTCATTAATCACACTGGAAATGGGCCTGTCAGGGACCCGCAGTACAACCTGCCCTGGGCCTTTAGCACACACAGAGCCCCGGTGAGACCTGCGTAATTACAGTGCAGGCCAGGGAGACGGGAGGAGGGGAGGAGGGGGGCGGGAGGTGTTACGGGTGCGTTACAGTCGTAACTGCGGATGGAAGGTGAATGCATCTCCTGCTACTTAAAGCAAAGTGTCCAACTAGACAGAAACCTTTATGACCTCTGGGTCCGCATTAAGATGACAATTGACGTTCACTGCACTCAGAGTCCGAAACTAACTTTTTGCCCCACATGCCAAACATGAGCACTGAGACCGGTTCCAAATATTCCTTACAGGCATTTTTTTTTTTTTTTTTTTTTTTTTTTTTTTTTGCATTCATTTTAATTTAAGTTTAAAAAAAATATATGTATATATAAGCTTTTTAGAAGTTTATTATTGTATTGCTTCAACTAAACAAAACTGATAAATGATGCCTTAGCAATATATATATATATATTACAATTTTTTTTTGTATTATTGCCTTGGTGCCATGACACACTTCATAGACAAATGCTTTTTATTTTTATTTTATTTTTGCTTGATGTGATGAATATTTCACCATATGTGAAATATTCATCCTTTGTCACCCTTCATAGACAAATGCTTTTTATTTTTATTTTATTTTTGCTTGATGTGATGAATATTTCACCATATGTGTTGCCACATGGGGTTCAGGAGGGAATAAAGCCATCCTAGACAAACAAACGACGCAAGGAATAGCTGTTAGAAGATGCATGTTTTCTTTAATAAACTATTTCAGTGTTTCATTTTTAATTGCATTTACATTTATTCATTCAGCTGACTTTTTTTGCATGTCACTTGCAAATAATCTGAGCTTCTTATAATCATTCTCATAATTTAGATGTTGACGAGTCACATTTGGCTCTCGGCGAGTGTCAATATTGGCCCCTGATTTCACTGTTGCAACCCACTGTTTGGTTTGACGTGATCCAGTGTTCCCACAGTTCATTGTTTTCATAATCCGTGAGTGGCACAACCTCTTTGACGTTCTTTCATGGTTATATTTCCCATGCGAGCTGTTAACCTGGGAAAGCAGCAGGATGATGCAGGCGGTGGAACTTCGGGAAAGAGGATCTGATGGACTGAACGTCAAGCTGTGAAATGTTCTTTGTTTAGTTCTGATGATTGAGTTTGCGGTAAGGCTCGTTTGCGAGTCGATTCCAGTCCTCCCGCTGTAGATAAACCTCAGTTTGCTCTGGCTGGCAGAGTGCATTCCTGCAGTGGGGATACGGAGAAGGAGGGTGGCCCGGGCCTTAACCAGAACTGTTTGACGCTCTCTTTCCCTCCATACCGCCCCTCTCAGGACAGGCCAGAGTCTGTTTTCTCACGTCTCACCTAACCGTCCGACATCTGGAACCTTGGCTGTTGGCAGCTGCAGGAAGTGTGATGTTGTTTTAGGACAGTGAAGTCTGCAAGATGTCCAGTGCCATGAATGGTGCAAAGATGGTTCCTCGTCTGTATGTATATCATGATTTTCTAAAAGTGGTGACCAGTGTTTTGGGGGTAATACGTTAGACGTTGTGTGATCAAAGAGCTTTTTTATCTAATGAGTGTTGCTTTTATAGTTATTTTGTTCAAACAAGAAATGCATGTTTACATAATCATATTTTTCCCCCCAATCTAACATCTAATCTAATATCAGTTTTTAAATACATATGTAATCAGATTTTTTGACAATCAGATTTTCACCCCACAAGAAATACGTTGCTCATTAAATGTACAATTTTCAAATAAGTAATGTATCATGTATTTAGATATTTTTCCCCAAAAAGTAATACGTTGCTTATTAAATTTACACAATATCAGTCACTTTTTCTTACACATAATCAGATGTTTCAAATAACATTTCATTTAATCAGATTTTTCACGCACCAATACATTGTTCTTTAAATTTTAACAATATCAATTACTTTTTAAAAATAATGTTTTCACTTAATCATTTGTTGCTTATTAAATTTACACAAATTACTTTTTTTCCAAAGTAACATTTTATGTAATATGATTTTTTTCACAATCCGTGATTCATTGCTCTTTAAATTTACACAATATCAGTTTATTTTCTTTAGAAGAAGTAACATTATGTAATCAGATTTTTCACACAATTTTCACAGTATCAGTTACTTTTTCAAACAAGCAATTATGTATTCAGATTTGTTTCACTAATTTATATAATCAGATTTTTCCACTAATTCACTTATTAAATTGACACAATATCAGGTACTTTTTCAAAGAAGTAACATTACTTTTACATATAACATAATAGTTGTTAACTACACAAAATTGACACTTTCAAATAAATAATATTAATTTCCCATTTTTTTAGTTTGAAGCAGCCAAAAATAACGCTGTGTCTTCGTCATTAATTTGGTCATAAGCAATTGCCATTTTTGTGACAGTTGCTTGTTACAATTGCCATGTCTCGTTTCTGATGATTATACCACATAATTAAAATCTTTAAAAACTTAAAACAAAAAATGTAACATTCGGATTTGTGATGCTTTACGTTGTTTCTTGTGAATGTGAGATGGCGATAAAAAAAAGAGGAAAAAGTGGAGGAAAAATAACATGACGTTGCAATAAAAAGTAATGCAATATTGTAGCATGTTACTTTTTAAAGTAACATTCTTCACCAGTGGTGTTGACACGTTCTTCCTTTCTCTCCTCGCTAGGTGTGAATGTATCCTGTAAGTATGTGACTCAGCGAGAGCTCTTTTGTTTCATTCATGCGTTCTCTCTTCTGAACGTGTTGGAGCAGGCAGGAAGGTCACAGAGCTGACTTTTTGCGCAGAGCAGGCTTGCAGCGACTGTGACTCTTTTGCTGTGTGACTCATTCTTTTTGTCATGTACAAAGTGTTTGTTCCTGGCTCAAAATATGATTTGCTCTCAACCGCTTTAGGGCAGCGAGTAAATGACTGTCTGTTATGCCTCACTTTGTGAAACGCAAGTTGTACTTGCTCTAATTTGATCAGAAATTGGACACTTTTACAGAAAATGAGTTTGAGACGTATTGTACTTCTCATTTGTACTCCATATGAATCGCCTCCAGGTTACATTAAAGTGCTCTTCACATTTATGTTGACGCGTCAATTTTCACTAGGGAGTGTACAGAATTAGAAAGCCGAGGATGGAGAAATCTGGAAGGAATTGAGCTTGAGCTTTAAACACAATTAAACTAATCAGCCTGGAGGTTGCAATTTGTGACCTAATACCTGCTAATAACAGCTGGGATTCAGGCTGGGGAACAGCAGTAAAGGACAGAAGCAGATGTCGAGTCAACCGAATATTTTACGTCATTGACTAATATTTTCTTCTTTTTTTTTTTAGCAGTGATGGAAAAATCTGAAAGCCGTCCGTCATTTTGACAGATTACACTGAGGGTGATGTATTCTAACATGTAACTGTAATTCCCACCCCTGTCCAGTTGGTGGCGAGTGCGCTCC